TCATCTCAATTTCCCTTATGCTATTATTCCTCCTATTGTTGACATCGATTCTAATATATGAATATCGAAACAAACAACATTAATTATGGTATGTTCATTTATAAATATATGGAGGTTGCTATCCAACATGATAATTTTGTATGGGGGCAACATAAATATTGATAAGAAAATATACTTAAATTCAGGGTTGAGCTGGCAATCTCCATTTTAGCTACAATCAAAAAATAAGTTTGTATGGATATTGTTTATTTATTTATTGTGAATATAAAAATTAATTTTGTCTTTTTTTTTTCTCATTTGTCTGTGGGAACTGCTGTTAGGTAGCATAACTTTAATTACATTAATATATATCATAAACTTGATTACGTTAATACATAATATAAAGGTAATTATATTAATAGATAACATAATAAGGTGATTTCAATAATAGCTAACATAAAGGTGATTACATTAATAGACAACATAAAGGTGATTATATTATTATTGCTACAATAGCTATCACGCTAACATAAAGGTGATTACATTAATAGACAACATAAAGATGATTATATTATTATTGTTACAATAGCTGTTACATATGCGCCTGTAGTTGACTTTGTGTAGGGCAACACGCAAATTAGAAGTGAAACTCATACTGTAGATTTTGTCAGTCATCTAGGTTTAAAAACTTCCTCCGCTTACCTCTAGGTAGAAACTTCTTCATTATTTGCTTATACAAGTCTAAAATAAAATCTTCCTCAGCTAGATCCCAAGGTTGATAAAGAATGACGTTTTCGACATCATAAGGTAACCTTTCACCAGCATTCGAACTACTATCTTCCCTCTTATAGTGTAGCTCATGAAAACTCATTTGAAGAAAGTAAGCATTTATTAAGTGGCGATCTTTCTCGAAATACATACTTTTTACACATTTCATGCCTCTACCAGTTAGGAAATTTTCAGATATGTTGCTCTCAACCTCCATAACCTCTCAGTGCAAATGCAAAAGTATATAATCTATATGTTCATGCAATATATGCATGCAACATTTGAATATTTCGTTTGCCCTAGCTAGTTGCTTAAGTAGATTGTTTGAACATCTTGACATACATTCATGTATTTAATTGCTGGTGATGTCCATGAAGTTCTTCTTCGAAATACCTCCAGACTTCTTGTCACGACCCAACCCGATCGGAACGAATCCCTTCTCATCGGGCCGCGACAAATGTTGAAAATCCAGGATATAGTTTTGGAATTTGCTTCAGAACTTTCTTCTAAATATTCGAACAAACAAAAACATATAGCTGCTATTAACTTCCAATATGTACAGAAATTCATCTATCATTTTCTTCTTTTCATCAAAATAATCATGTACAATACAGTGCATGGCTACAGACAGAAAGAACAGAATAGAAAAATCATGATTGTACAAAAATCAAAAGTACAAAAAAACACCTAATCACTGATCAGACACAGAATGACTAATCCAAGACTTCATTCCCTTTTCCAGAACCTGAAAACCATACATATAATAAGGATGAGCTAACAGCTCAACAAGACTACACTCACCAATCAAAATCTCCAGAAATTCACATCAGAAAAAACATTAGAAGCAGTTATTCAAATAGCCGTACAGAAATTCAAATAATAATACAAAAATTATATGACAGACAAAACAGATACTTGATCCAATAAAAATCATATCACAGATACATGAATTCAAATTAGAATGCAGAACAGATCTTATAAAACTTTCAAATCACAGAATGGATCGGATCGTACAAATCAGAATTCAAATCAGATAAAATCGCATTTCAGATATCACATGTCACATATCACATATCACATATCAGATATCCCAGACCCTGACAGAATCTCAACAAATTCTGGCCCCTTATGCCTTCCTTCCCTGACACAGACAAAAACTCGACGGATTCTAGCCCCTTATATCTCCCTTTGTGCTTATAGCACAAGAACAGAACAGATATACAAAACTTTCAGAACAGAACTTTTTTCAGATTTCTCAGATTTCCCTGACACAGACAAAATCTCAAAGGATTCTGGCCCCTTATAACTCCCTTCTGATAGCACATCACAACAAAGGATTCAGTTCAGAAAATAAGATTTCGTTAGAAAATCGTCAGCGACATAACGGCAGTATACGACATTTACACAAAATTCACAAATTCAAAAATTTACCAAATTATCACAAATAATACACGACAACGGAAAAAAACACGACAACATTGTAAGACTTTCATTGTACTGAAGCAACATTTTTCAATATCATGATAATTCGTAATTCGATTAAAATGCCGCAAAATTTAAAATACCCGGTAAAAATCTTCCAGAAACTACTCAAAATGTGCACAAATATCATCTTAGAAACATACCAAAAGTTACGCGGTAAAAAGTTCATCAGTACAAAACGGAATCAATTATTCGCTAACGGAGACAAAATTCGAAACAGAAAAGTCGTCAAAATCCTCCTTTCTGAAAATTGAGAAAGGCGGAATGTGCCTTACCTCGAGTCGGTCAACTTTCTCAGCTGCAGCTACGGACGAAAACGGACAGAAGTCGCCCAAAAATCACTTCCTTTTTCCTTCGGTTTTCTCTCTCCTGCCCTTTTTCTCTCTCTTCAAAAGATCTCATTTCCATATATATCCAACCAGATCGTCCCGGGACGATTTGCCCTCTAGACGAATTTCGTTCAGATGAAATAGTTATCGTACCTGGACGAGTTGCTCTCTGAAAAAATTTCGTACGGACGAACCTCATTTCATTTTGGGACGAACCTCTCTGTCTCCAAAACCTGTACAAACCTGTACCGATCGTCCCCGGATGATCCAACTTCGTCCTGGACGATCCTGGAAGGAAAACAGCTTTCACACTTCTCATTATCTAGCCAATGCAATATATAAAGTATGTGGTCAGGTAAGGTTTACTACTATGAAAAAAAAATGAAACAGTTGCTAAAGTAAATAATTGATGTAGGTATAACAATCCCCTTAAATAGCTACAATAACCAAAAATTCATCTTCATCCGCTGTAAATATACTCATAGTGGGACATCCCATTCTGGTGTTTGATTTTTGATATTTTGATTGGAAATTTAAGTCAATACCTTTCTTGAAACCAGCTTTCAAACAAATGAAGTCATTAGATCTTATTTTTCTGGAATTTGGCTTGTAATTAAGATGTTCTTTATGAACATTAAAACTAACAGTATAACCATAACTGCAGTACATATCATATGCTTTCTTCTCACAATTATAAATACCCTGTTTATAAGCAAATAGTTAAATATACAACAGTAGATAACAAAATACACATCAATACATAGCAATACACAGCTCAATACCTAGCTACGCAACACAATAGTGCACATCAATACACATCATACATAGTAATACACAGCTGAATGCATAATTAAATACATATCAATATATAGCTAAATATACAGCTGTACATAATAATACACAGTAGTACACAACTCAGTACCCAATAATACACAACAATGTAATATAACAATGCACAACAATGCACATCAATACACAACTAAGTATACATCAATACGTAGCTCAATACATAATAATACACAGCTTAATACATAAGAATATATAACAGTACATAACTCGATACATAAGAGTACATAACAATATAAATACACAATAATACACATCAATGCACCCAACAGTAGTACACATCAATAAAAATACACAGTAGTACACAAATACACAACAGTACACAACTGAATATCCAAAAGTACACATCAATACACAACAATACATATCAGTCACAAGAACACACATTTGAATACACAACAGTATACGGAGTGCATTATGAAAAACAAAAATTTCTAATATAATTTCACAAATATACATAATTTGAAGAATACACCCTAAATCCTAAAAAACTATACATATTTATATTAAAATATAACAAAATAATGCTTCTTCGCGGCATCCCACAAATAAATAATTCATATTTACTTTAAAATCATCCTTACATAACAAAATCACGCTTCTTCATGGCATTCGACTCGTGAATAATTGAAGAATGTATCATTAACCTTAAAACACTATATATTCACGGGAAACACAAAAAATTTTACAAGGAATTTTAAAGTTATCAATAATAACCCTAGTTTTTCTCCCATGGTTGACTGCAGCAACTCTTCCTGAATGTTTTGTATACCGCCTTTCATCACCTCAGAGAATGCAATGTATTCCAACCCAATTTTCATCTTCTTCGTTTGTTTCTATTTTTTCTTTATCAACAGATAAAATGTGATATTCCACCTCTCGCTAAAACTTAAAATACTCTGGCACTTTCACAGATTTTTTTTTAAAGGTTAAAAGGATTGTCTCGATTAGGGGTGTCAATTTCGGGTCACGGGTCGGGTTCGGGTCGAACCCGAAACTGACCCGGCACTATTCGGGTCAACCCGAACCCGACCCGTTTTTAAAAACGGGTCAGTTTTCCTGACCCGAACCCGACCCGCCCAAATGACTCGTTTCCAACCAGAAAATGGCTAATTTTTGGGTAAAAAACGGGTCAATTTCCTCTTTTCGGGTCAAAAACGGGTCAATCTCGGGTTGCCGGGTCAAAATCGGGTTTTTGGGTCAAAATCGGGTCAAAGGATTAACCCGAACCCGACCCGATTTTTGAAACGGGTCGAAATGCTGAACCCGAACCCGACCCGTTTCGGGTTCGGGTTGACCCTAACCCAAAATTTTTGGATCGGATTCGGATCGAATTTTTGGATCGTGTCAAATACTGACACCCCTCTCGATTGGATCGGGCTGTTGGAGTGTTGGGTCCTAAGAAAAATAATATCAATAATTATCAACTTATCAGCTTTCTATTGGAGTGCACTCGCGGCAAAAGAAGAACAGCTATGGGATGGATCAGACCGTTAAAGGCGCCACGTGGTTTCAGCTGGGCCTCGTTAAAAGTTAAATAAATATATAACTAGTTACTATAATTGATTTTCTTGGAAGTACAAAGCTAAAGTCAGTAGTATTAATAATCAATCAAACCCACCGGACAACAGAGAAACAGATGGAAGAAAAATGGTTAGGCAGGAAGGAAAATGGTTAGGCAGCTGAGCTTCATAGGAACCCTTTTCCACACTCGCAGATAAAGAAGAAGGGGTGGAAGTGAGAAATGGATGGGATGGGTGAGAGAGAGCAGCAAGTTTACATGGCAAAGCTAGCAGAACAAGCAGAGAGATATGATGGTCAGCAGAAATTTTTTTTTCCCAGAAATTTTGGGGGAGAAGGCTCGAATTAAATATTGAATTTGGTGATCTATGTTTTCTAATTTTCTTTGAATATTGAAGTTTATATTCTGCCTCTTCTCCATATGTTTTTCTATTATTATTTGAGCCTAGTTTGGTGGGTTTTTTTTAGCGTTCATTCATGAACTATTTTCAGAAGAAAGAGAGTACATGCCTTTTGATAAGCGATTTTGAGTAGGTGGTATGTGGCATCAAATATTCAGCCTTAATGTTCTAAGTTCTAACATTAAGTTTGCAGCTTTTTCTCCGCACTTTTGTTGCTTTATGGAAACCTTTTTTTTACTAATATCATGAATATTGCTGTTCAAATTATTAGTGCAAGCTATTTCGTTTTGAGATGCTTGATCCGTGATTTTTTCTTATCTCCTCTGGTTTCTTATTTGAGTGCTTGGAAACATTCTTTTGCAGTGAAATAAGTGTTCATGCTGCTTCTGTCCTTGTCGGAAACCCAGGAAGGATAAGAAATTGGGCAAAATTTTTCCTATTAACAGACAAAATGGGTCGTTTTTAAGATAAATTAATGCGATTTTTGTGAGCTCTTTCATTAATCTTTTAACATTTATAATAAAATTTAATTTCTTCTTTGTTCATAAGCAAATTGGTCGATTTCAGTCTCGCTTCCGGTGGGAATTGGGTTGAAGAAAGCATTAATTAATTAGTATACACGCAAATTTGCCTGTAAAAATAAATGATATCTTGGTGTTGTTCTTATGCAACAGAAATGGTCGAAGCAATGAAGAAAGTGGCTAGATTAGATGTGGAGCTGACAGTAGAGGAACGAAATCTGCTCTCCGTTGCGTATAAGAATGTTGTTGGAGCTAAGAGAGCCTCGTGGAGGATTCTCTCTTCTATAGATCAACATGAAGAAGCTAAGGGAAATGTGCATAATGTTAACAGGATAAAGGGCTACATAAAAAGGGTAGAGGATGAACTAACGAAGGTCTGCAATGAGATTTTGTCGATCATAGCCATTCATCTCCTCCCTTCTTCCACCGCCAGTGAATCCATTGTCTTCTTTTATAAGATGTATGCCTATTTTTCATTTCTCTTTTATACTTTTTTTTTAACCAAGTTGCAGATAATTATTTTCATCAATGTTGGTAGCTTATGCTGTTATGCACTAATAGTAATTTTAACCACTTTTATATGCTAATATATTCTTTTAAAATGTTGGGAGATTTACATACATACCGAAAATTCTTTTGTGTTTGTATGTATAACACATAATATTTTATATTTACTTATACAATACCCTAGTGTCTAAATTACATCTAAACACACGCATGAAAGTATATATTTCACTTTAGATAAGCTAATATTAATAGTATTTATTATGTAATCTAAAGATTAGTGTCATACTAATAAATATTAAAATTTAGGTGTTAGATATTTAAATATATAAGAATTATCTGGTATGTATGTAAATCTGACTTAAATGCACCATCATAATTTTAATCTTGATGCATCACCATTTTTTTTTTTGGGACATTTAGGCCAATTAAGACAGACTCACACATACATAGCATACACAAGATTCGAATGCAAGACCTCTTAGTTGACAGCCTAAGCTCCCAAACAACAGTTCAAGGCTAGCTGTGTGATGCATCATCATTTTTAATATGCAAAGATTTTCAATCCAATAACATAGTTTCATATTCATTATTATTGTTCTCTTCTTTAATTTGGATCAAAACTTTTCCTTTTCCTTTGTTTAGTAATACTTTTGATTCAATAAACACTTCTATGGCCCTTTCTTAACAATAAATTTCCATATAGTAAAAGGAAATCTCTGGATGTTTTTGTTGAAAATTCATATTTATCTATATAAGTTAAGAATCTTTTTAATCTTCAGGCATTTAATTTTTGCCCTTCTTTGAAACTAGGAAGGGGGATTATTATCGATACATGGCAGAGTTCAAGACTAAGAATGAAAGAAGAGAAGCTGCTGATCAGTCACTGAAAGCCTACCAGGTTTGCTTATCCATGTTCCCTTTTTACATTAAAAAAAAAGAAAAATGTAATCTTTTAGGCTTTGTTTGGATTGAAGGACCATTGAGGAAATGAAAGACAATACCTATAATTGCTGGATTGATTATGAATCTGCATCATTGATTTATGCTTTTCAATATTTTTTTTAATCCTTTAATTTGCTTTCACTCAAATTCCTAGAATCCAAAATAGTGTTAAGGTTACACTTTGAGAAATTTCATTGGAGGCTTTGTTAATTCATTTTACTGCAATGCAGGCAGCTACCAGTACAGCAATGATGGATCTGCCCCCAACACATTCAATAAGGCTTGGTCTTGCACTGAACTTCTCTGTTTTCTATTATGAGATAATGAATTTACCTGAAAGGTTAGCAATTTCTCCATTCCATCCAATTATAGGCCAAAGAAATCACCCCCACTCCCACAGTCACCTATCTTCTTATAGAGTAATAAATCTTCCAACTTTTTGACAATAAATGTGTTTCTTTCTCATTTCTCAGGGCTTGTCATTTGGCTAAGCAAGCATTTGATGATGCTATCACTGAGCTTAGTACTCACAGCACTGATTCATTCAAAGACAGCACACTAATTATGCAGCTTCTGAAGGATAATCTCACACTTTGGACATCAGATTTGCCAGAGGAAACTGGTACTGCTTTGAGTAATCCTTCTTGCTATTTTACTTTTTATATGTAATTGCATTAATTAAAGTGGTAAATGCATAACCTGTCTTTAAAATTTGAGGTTCTTTTTTGAGTAAGGTTACATAGCTCTACCCGAAAACAAAAAATGGTTTTGATATGTTGCATGGTAAATTAGCATGAGTGCATTATATAAACACATAAGATTATTAAGCTCTTTTATTCCCTCTCTCTATATATATCTCACCTTCTTTTTTTCTTTAATTGCCTAGTTTTAGGTAGATATTTTTTTTATAGGTGTGCCACTTGTCATAATGTTGGCTTGGTCATTAATTAAAGTAGCTTGGTTGTAGGTTCATCCACTCTGGTGCAGCTGAGCTTGTGAAAAGGCATATTAAATGCCGCGGTGTTCATTATTTCCTGACAAGCAAAAGTTAGCTAATAGAGTGGTAGTAACTGTCATATGGATAGAGAATTATAGGGGCTTAAATATGCATGTCTATGGTGTGTTTTTGGAGAAATTATTCTGTGCGGACACCGGACGCTCCATAGGCCAACCATAACACGTCACCTCACCCGGTACCCAGCACCGATACGGAGCAAAAAAGTGTTGTGGTGCGTTATGATTTGCTTTTCGATGACGTCCGGTATCCGCACAGAATAATTTATCGTTTTTTTTAGATTTGTTTGAAGAGAAGCTGAAGAAGTGAAAAACAGAAGGGGAAAAGAATACTTAATGGTGGAGGGTTGGGTTTGATGTAGGCATGTTTACTCCTTATCACATATAGGTCAATTATCAGTTAACATAAACTTGACATGTTCATCAAAAAACCAAGCGCTTACTTGATAACTCAAGCCATTGTTGCTGGCCTTTTGTGCTCATCAGCGTCGCAACAAAATGCTATTTGTTGGTATTTCCACATCAGTTGCATTTGCATTTATCCCTCCTGCATTAAATCTTATTTTGATTTGTAGGTGAACAACAATCTAAGGCCACCGACATGATCATGGACGTAAGTGATTTCCGTTTAAAATCTATTTTATATAGTTCACAATTTGCTTACCACATCTGCTAATTTCCCTTCACTGATCATCAGAGTTGAACGGACATGATCGAGCAGGTGATGAGCTCGCGGTCGCGGTGATTATGTCAACCACTAATACAAAACTTGCAGGAATCATGAAACACATTGTAATTATAATGTTATTAGAATTGTAATTCTATTTAAATAGAATTGAAGTACAGTGAAATATAATAATTCAAGAGAACAAAAGAAATCATAAATATCTGAATTATTTACATTTTAAATTCCTTACAATATCATGTTAAAGGATGAAAATGAAGCCAATAATTTTAATTAATTCCTAGAAAACTCATTAAAACCTTACTTTTTAAAAAGTAATATTCTTATTTAGCATTCAATTATATATATATAAAAAGAGCATACATGAGTTTTATTTCTTAAGAAAATGATTAAGTATAAAAATAACATAAAGCGTGAGGGGTGGAATAAGCCTCTCTTTTGAGGGAAGATAAAATAAGATTATGGTAAAATGAAATAGAAGAAAAAACTTTTTCTTAGAATTTTGAACAAATATATTTGCCAGGAGTGAGTGAAATAGTTAAAAATGCTTATTTTTCATGGGAAAAAATTTTCATAGTGGGTAATTGCCTATTCTGAGCTCTTTCTAGATGTATTTTTGTAAAGAGAATGCATGTTTAAACATATGACCCGCATAGTGAGATAAAAAATTATATTATTTTTTATGTTGTTGATGTATATGAGAACAAGTAAACTAATAAATTTGATCTTTGGAAGATAAAAAAATGCTTTGAAAATAGATAATTTATAGAAAAACATTTTTTTTTTTAAATTTAACGTTTACAATTAACAAATAAAAAGATGCTTCATCTACTATAGCTAAAAGTGAAAATGAAGATAGAAAAAATTAATAGCAAGAATATCCATCACAAGCATCAGTATTCTTATTACATATTATTGTGAACAAATATTCTCTCTTCTCTTTTTTAACTTAATAATATAGTACATATTTGGTGAGGGCTCCAATCAACCACATAACACTGCCATTAATAGTTCTTGAGATGCTCCATTTTATTGTATTTTTTTTTTTTCCTACAGGTGAATTGTAATTGTTCTTATGTTTTTTAATACATGGGCTTTTGCCCCGGGTTCTCCCAAAAAAAAAATATATTTGGTGAGGGCTCCAATCAACCACATAACACTGCCATTAATAGTTCTTGAGATGCTCCATTTTATTGTATTATTCTGCACAGATCCCTACCTTGAATAAGAGCAAAAGCTCGCAGCAGCTTTGTGCTAATAAATATGTGCAGCGCATGTGCAAAGGAAGTACAGGTGATTGATTGAAGGGCAGATCGATCTTTCTTATGGTGAAAATTAGCAGTGTTGATACTCGGATCCGATCTGTTCATTGTTATGGGTAAAATTTGATTATATTGATCAATTTGGTTAATTTATTGTCTCAAATCTTAATATTTGTTGTGTTCGTTGGAGGTGCAGGGGGTTTACCTCCTGTTTCGATTCGGGTGCAAAGCATCCGATTTTTTTTTTCTTGTACAATGTCCCAACATTATATACCTCAACGCCCCGACGCTACGTAGTTGTTCGCCCCGACACTGTGCTCCCAATCGCCCAAGCCCTGAACGATAGAAAGCAAAATGCTACAGCGGTGTGGAAATGGCGCCACAACGAATCAAGACAGGTTTGAGCACCATATCGCCCCAAATTGGCACCACAACGTTGCGAGATGGATTAGACGATTTTCTCTCTCGTTTTCTAAAGGGTTGCATTCCTTGGGATTATTTTACTTAATTTTCTCTTGTATTTTGATAATGTAGACATTAAAAATGATGCAGGTGAGAAGAGAAGTAAGTAGAGAGAGAGAAGAGAGATTTGCACTTATTTCTCTCAATTTTTATAAAGAATTTCTTGGTGTGTTGTTCCTCTATAATTTTTTTTCTCTATTTTGATGACTACAGATAATCAATCAATTATTGTATTTCTTTTTTTTTTTCCAAAATAAATAAATAAAATAAAATCCATCCTAATAATCAGAATATCATTGCACAATGTTTTGCCCAAATGCTTCAACTAATAGAGCAAGTGGCAAAATTTTGATCAGAAACTTTAATAAGATTAAAGGATAAAAAAAATCCAACTTTTATTAATTGGAACCAACCTAAGAGAAATTATTTTGTGCGGATATCAGACGATATTCGGAGACCAATCAGAACATGCCCGTCACTTTTTTGCTCGGTACCAATGCTCGATATTGGCATTTAAGGATGATGTGGCGCGTTCTGATTGGTCTCCAGACCGTCTAATACCCATACAGAATAATTTCTCCCGCCAACAATGCTTTTTATTAATACGATATATTGCAACGACAATTATACTTCCAGGAGACCATACACAAACAGCTCTTTAAAATTCCAGTCCATTATACTGAATAAATCGTCCACCTTCCAACCTTAGGGCCTTCAGGTCTTCAGAAATCGAACAAACAGATGCACGGATCAACTAACGCTTCAAAGGAATCAAATAATATTTCACAACTAGAGAAAAAAAAAGGAAGAAAAGCATTTACAGAAGAGGAAATGAGACCATGGAAGCCAATTAATACAAAGTCCTGGCAGCTTGTGCTGTATTTTGAATTTATAGATGGTGGCCTCTTGACCGTTGGAGAACTGAAGGAACGATTTCTTCTGTGAAAATTAATTCTTTTAACCTTTGAATCGAACAACTATACATGAAATGTCATCCTTGCTGTCTTTCTTTACTGCTTCAGATATTAATTGCTTTGCTGCTACATGTGGATCCTTGAATTTCCTGCCAATGTCAACTGCTTCTTGATTGTTCACAACCTGGAAGGAATTAGAGCAAAACAAGATTAAAAAGGTTTAAGTCTTAAGCTTCATTTGGGACGGCTTTCTTACTACTTCTTAAAGAAGCTTTTTAGTACAAAATTGAAAATTTTTATACTAAAAAAATGCTTTAAGAAGCAATAAGAAAGTAGTCCCAAACGAAGCCTTAGAAAGATTGGAATATTAACCAGGGGAATGGTTCTCTTTTGGTTTTGAAATTCTAATTAAGAAAGAACCTTCCATAGACCATCACTGGCAAGAATAAGCAGTTCTGTATCATTATCAATGTCAACAGGGCGGATATCTGGATCTGATCTTAAGTGCAACTTGAGGCTCTCGTCTCCAAATGCACGAGAAACAGCTAACTGACCATTAACTCTTGGGACATCCCCTGATAAGTTTTGGAGGAAGTTAGACACTCAGATTGAATTATATAATTTTAAAAAAATGTGCATATTTGTGCAGATAACCAAAATTATGTTTTTCTGGTCAAATTTGGATCAACCATCGAATTTTTTCTAATGACTGGTCAGAATACAGAACAGAAAATGTCTAAAAATTTGCTTTGTTCGTCTACAGCTAAAAAGTCTAATCGCATAAAGTTAAATAGTTGGTATAAGGAATAGCATTTACATATTAACATGACAGAAGAAAACCTACAAATCTTCACCTCAAGAAGCGCAACTGTCTGTCAGTGGAGGATCAAATGGTCAGCATTATGCAATGTGTATAAAAATTAAAATTTAGGCTTCGTTTGGAATGACTTTTTTGCTGCTTCTTAAAGCAGCTTTCAAGTACAAAAATTTCAACCTTTGTACTAAAAAATTGTTTTAAGAACAGTAAAAAAGTCGTCCCAAACGAACCCTTAGTTTATCCCTTGCTAATCGCATAAAGTTCAAAATAAACACTAAATAGTGTTTCTTTTTTTTAAAAAAAACCCTATAAATAGATTAAGAAAATGATTGGCCTAAATAACCACGTTATCCAACCTGACCAGAAAACTCAATCCATCCAAGATTCCCAGATATTTAAATTTGGCTAAAGGCTTCCATCCAATTTCTCAGCTCCTTAAGACAACACACTTACTGAAAATTCAGGAAGCTGCTGAAATTTCAAGCTTATCAGTGAAAATTTTCAGATTCTTTCAAACCATTACTAGACAAGGTCCAAGCTTTAATGTTCTGCAGTCATCTATTAATCCCAATAACTCCAAACTTCAGATGGCCCAACATGTACTGTACTGCCCGTGCACCCCTCACTAATACCATGTCCGATCAAGAACAACCAGCCAAGAACTACAATATCAATATAGGGCATCGGTGCTGCCATCCAAAGCATTAATTTAAGAGTCCCCAGCTTGGAAAAGAATTCATAGGCAATAAAAACCAGCATACAACTTTGACATTTTTGTCCAGAGAGACATGAGAGTGAAAATGTAGACCATATAGGAATTAAAAAACAGGAGCTAGTTCATAATATAATAACAGAGACCCTCACCCATTAGCTGAAGCCTTTGAGTTGATAGGTATACAGTTACTTCGTGTATTTTGCTCAAATTAGGCCACCCTTAAATGACCTAACAAGTGCATCCCACATCAAAGAAATCATTCACAACATAGAGAAAAAGGAATATATATATATATATATATATATACATACATAAATTAAAGTAAGAAAGGCAAAGTTCAGGCGAGCAAGGATAATGGAGCATAAGACCCAAATGAGTTTGTTATGGGAAGAATATCAAGAGTTGTTTTTGTGGAGAAGCTCAATCATAGAGAAGGAAAGAAGAGAAAAGAATGTTCTCAAGCAAATCTTTAAAAGTTCGGGAAGATTGTAAGATCTCGTTAAACTATTCCTAGGCGCACCAAGAGAGGGGTTAATTAGTACTTTAAAAATTACTAAAGCTAAAACCCCTTTTTTTTTATGCAATATAACAATTTTTAAAAATAAATTCTATTTGAGTAATTAACACAAGTGGAAAAAAGTTAAAAACATGATTTTTCCTTTTTTTTTAAGTTTTGAAGCACAAATAAATCAAGAGGAATATTTTTTTTTTTGCTAACACAAGATAAATTGTAACTGCAGCTTGTGATGAAAAATCAAACTCGTGTAGGAAATTTAAAGTGCAAAAATAAAAGAGCAAAAAAGAAAAATCAGAAAGAGCACACCAGAAATTTTATAATGGTTCGATCAATCTTGACCTACGTCCACTCTCCCGAGTCCTCATCTCCGGGTATTGCACTAACACTATAGTGACTCTCATTTCGCTCCCACAGCAAGGCGGAGAAGCTCTTACAAATCACTTCTACCAAACCCGATATGGCAGAGAATCGAAGCTATGTCACCCTCCTGGTGACGACAACAAATCTTCAATCCTTTTTCACTCTCCTGGTGAAGGCAGAGAACCCATGAAATCTTTCTCACCCTCCTGGTGATGGCAGAGAACCTTCAATCCTTTTTTACCCTCCTAGTGAAGATAGAGAACCCTCCTGGTCAAGGTGCAAGCTTGCTTGGAACAATCGCGTGAACCTCCCTCACACTCCTCCATCACGCACAACCTCACCTTCTCCCTCTCTAAGCCCAAAGCTCTCTCAAGAATTCTCCCTCAAAGTTTCTTCAACAGCCAAGAGTCTTCTTAGAGACTTCATTGAGTTTGCTTAAGTACAAGGCTTAAAAAAACCCAAAATTTTCAATTAGGTCGTCGTTGTTTGCACAGTACGATCTAGGTTCGTACAACACGATTAGCTCAAAATAGGGGTTCATCCAGTACGATGGAACAATCGTTTAGACGAACTATTCAAATTCTGCGTACGTATCATACAATACGATCGAAAGTTCGTACGGTACGATTAGTTCAATTTCCTTGTCCGTATAGGATGATTGGAAATCATCTTTGTCGATCGTCCGGTACAATTAACATCAACTAGTACGATTAACATCGTATAACAAATTCAGTTCAAATATGAAGAGTTCGTACAGCACGATCAACATCGTACTATACGATTAGTTAAACATCAAAATTTTTGTCCAGTATAATATCCGGTACGATTAGATTTCGTCTCTATCAATCATACAATACGATCTTCATCATACATCGTACAGTACGATTAGCCATATTAATTAAATATTGATTTAATTGACTCATCACAAGGAATAAATTAAGTAAGATTTCAAATATTGTATAATACGATTAGGATCGTACAGTAAGATTAGTTTATGTTAGAATTCATAGAATTTGAGAAGGGTAAAAATACCTTCTACTTATTATACAAAATTATCCCTATTTATAGATCTATACAAGATGTCTTAATAAAGAAATAAATTTTAACTTCTAATTGATACATAATTGCCTCAATATAATCCTTCCTAATTCAGCTACCCAAATATAGAAGGATATTGGCGTGATCCAGGTGAGCCTCCCACGGATTCTCATCTTGACCGTGGGATCAAATGCCAATGGATGACTGAGATTTTGACACTCCCCCTCAAGCTAGAGACAATCTTGCAATTACTCGCTCAGGGGTAGAGCCTGCATTGGTTATAGATAGGATATCAACCACTCAAGAGAAAGCTGGCAATGAAGGCCGATGATGGAAAACTATCCTCAATATCTGACATTAAGGCCGGTTGTGGGAACTTGTATTCCTCAGAATTCCAGCAATGAAGGCTGGTGATGGGAACATCCTCAAAATTCCGACAATGAAGGCCGGTGGCGAGAATTTTGTATTCCTCAAGTTTCCAGCAATGAAGGTTGTTTTATAGTAGTAATAAGGTTGATTTGATCAACAATAAAGGCTGATTTGCTTGTATCAGCAATAAAGACTGATTTGATCAGCAATAAAGGCTAATTTGCTTGTATCAGCAATAAAGGCTGATATTAGATCTTAATCAGATCTTAAATCTGATTTAAGGCTTTTTTTTCATTTTTTTTCAAATCTCTTGGTTTAATAAACCGAAACGCTTGGTTTAATAAAATGGACCGAGCCAAGTAAAAAAAAACTCGGATCGAGCAGCAGGTAGGGCGCATGCGAGCAACTCCTGGTTTCGGCGTCAGCATGAGAGCAGTTTCGACAGCTTCTTGCGGCGCCGACTGTGGATTCTGCGACGTCTGTCTTCAACTTTTGTTGGTAACGCTCAGTCTGCCTCCATCTATGGCTTCATTCGCAAGCTCCGGCTTCATCGTCTAGGCAATGTAGCTCTGTCCACGTTATCAGCTCTATTCGCGTCGTGAGCTCCGTCCGCGACCTTGCCTTTGGTCGCAACGCTTCGTTGCTTCTGCACGCACGAGAGTTGGCTCACAATTAGGCGGCTCCTTCCCATGAGGTCTTGATGTTTCCTTCCTTTGGCTCCATCTCGCAGGAGGTTTGCTCGGCCCGTCCGTCCCGCAAGGCCCTGCCGCTTCCTTCCTTCCTTCAACTTCGTCACAGTTTGCTCAGCCCATCCGATTTCATTTGGCTTCAGGCTTTAGGCTTCTGGGTCCAGTGTCACTTCTTTGGCTCCTTCATGGCTACGCTCCTTTGACGACTTTCCCTTTCTGTCGGATCGGAAGTTACAACGTTTGGATCGGGAAGCTTCCGTCGGCAGGGGAGCTTCGTCTGCGGCGTCCTTCCTCAGCAATGCTTCGCTTCGGCGTCAAGATTCTGCCGGCATGGCTTCGATTTCTTCTTCCTTTCCTCTTCCGATGATCTACGATCATTCTACAACGGCAATGAAGGCCGTTAGCTTTGATACCATGTTAGAATTTATAGAATTTGAGAAGGGTAAAAATACCTTTAACTTATTATACAAAATTATCCCTATTTATAGATCTATACAAGATATCTTAATAAAGAAATAAATATCTTCTAATTGATACATAATTGCCTCAATATAATCCTTCATAATTCAATTACCCAAATATAGAAGGATATTGGCGTGATCCAGGTGAGCCTAAAAACGGATTCTCATCCTGACCGTGGGATCAAATGCCAAGGGATGACTGAGATTTTGATAGTTTAAAAATCATTTTTTAAAATGTTTACTTAAATTATTTGGCGACTAGGGTTTCCTGATGGAAACAAATTGTACAATATGAACTTACATCGTACAATGCAATTAGTTCATGACATTAATTACACAATTAGCCGTTAATACTCTTTTTCCGTATAACAAATCGTACAATATGATCAAAATCGTACGAAATGATTAGTTCAAAAAATCTCAGCAAACTTTTCTCACTCCCCTGTGTGTGTATACACGGTCTCCAATTTAACATACAGCTTTATATGGCCAGACTTAAGAAATATAAAATTAAAAAAAAAAAAGCAAAAACACATGACTCTTTTGAAAGATATCCTATTCGACCCAAACTTGAGCCTTGATCAATCTTGAGCAGTGCATGATGTACCTAAAATATTAGTACACACAGAGAAACAATATCAATATATATACTAGAAGAAATAAAAGTTCAATCAATAATATTTGTTATCATCAAAATCACAAGCTCGGGATCTTGAATTGCAACAATCTTGTATGTCTCAAAAAAAGACAAATAGATGGGAAACTTGTTTCCTTTATAGTAGGAGCAAGTGGTTGCATGCATTCTTCCTGATTCATGATAAAAATAAAAAGATTTATCTTTCTTCCTCTATATTTATTGAAGTAGTAGTATTTACTCATCTCCCAATGTATGAGAAATCTTCCATGTACTCCCTTAAAGTTAGTTAAATACTTTTAACTTTTGTGCATGTGTGCGTATAGGCATATCTCACTGAACCATGCAAATCGCTCTAGCCCTTTTTTTGTGTATGATCTCTTTTTGCAATAATTTTATGGTGCATCATATTTGCACCTCAGGTTAATGCAACATAGTCACGAACATTCCAACAAATTCTCCAACTTTACTTTTTGAGGGGGATGGATTTTATCCAATTAGCAAAATAATCAATTAAAATAAGAATAAATCTATAATCCTCAGAAGGAGAGTCAATTGGACAACTAGATCCATATCCCAACTCTCGAATGGCCACAAGGACAATTAGGGTTAAGTTGATTCGAAGGTTGGTGGACAACCATGCTTTGAAACTGACAATGATAACACTTATGTGCCTGCTCAACACATTCACAGACAACCAATAATACCCCAATCCAATAATTTTAAGTTTTATTTTAGATCAAGATGGGTAAACACAACAAATCTCTTCAGGTACCTCGCCCATAATCTTGGAGTCCCATCATGTGTTATGATAAGGATGTCTTTTCATGTATGAACTAAGTTCTAGTGGCAACATTTATAAGAGAAATGCCGCTATGCGTAAGATTAGAGCTTCGTAAAGATGCAATTTATATGATAACATGACTATTTTGTCAGTTGGAGTTATGAAAAATTTCAAAAAGAATCTAATATCATTAGGTGCTCTCGGTGTTGTAGAAAACACGTTCTCCAATGATGCTAATGCCCTTAAAGTTTACAAGGGTGCTTTAGTTATTTTGAAGGTAAATAGATTCAACGGACTTGGTGTTACAGAGTGCAATATTGAGTAGTGATCTGCTAAATTCAACTTTGATGAAGCATCGCAATTTGGCGAAGCAAAATAGAATTTAGCTCCAAGGTTTTCGTAAAGATTTTTGAAAGAAAAGGAGGAACAATTTGAGAGGGAGGCTTATGGAGATGATAAAGCAAATCATGTTTATATTGCAAGCATCCATAATAGAGTGAAAGAAGAAAAAAATATTCGAAGGACAGTGAGAGAGAGAGAGAGAGTTCGGTGAAGCAAGAGAAGGGAATAAGAGTTTAGAGTTGATATAGGGAAGAACATCAAGAGTTTTCTCTCTAAAAAAGCTTGATCTCATAGAAAAAAAGAGGAGACAAGGAAGTTCTTTAACAACTCTTGAATAACTCAAGATAGGAAGACCAAAGGGAAGCTTTTTTCCTCACAAAGAGAAGTGTTTGCATCTTTTTTTTTATTGATTTGCGGCAACAATTAAGAGATTTGTTTTTCTTCTTTATCTTTCAAAATAATAGTCTCTACTAATCTCCCAATATATAAAAAAAACCTTTTAAGTACTCTCGCCAAAAAACTTAGTGGAATATTTTGATCCTTATGTGGCGATGAACGTAGTTGGATCTTACTAAACCATATAAATCTTGGCATCCCTTTTTTATATATATGATCCCTGTTGTAGTTATTTTATGGTCCATCGTATTCACTCTAAAGTTGGCATTTCCTTAATTCAAATTAGGTGTATTATCATTTCCGCACATAAAGTGTTTTATGCTTCTATTAGTTTTCTTGTCCGTCCAACATGATTAATTTTCAATAAACAAAATAGATAATCTAGAAAGCACTTAAACTAGTGAACATCCAAGTTACATTACCATTCATCTTAAGCATTATTAGCCATCTGCAAATTATTCAGGGTGTTTATGATTCATTTATGCTAGTTGTTGGAAGTGGTGTTCTTAATATCACTTTTTTCACAAATTTCAGCCCAAGTACTTCGAGTCTTAACATTTTTCATTCCCATCCTAACTTATTAATGCATCTTCAATTCTCTGTTGTCAAGCACAAATAAATTGCCTGTTTCTATAACAAGTTATATATGTGCTACTCCTAAATTCACTAAAACATTATCATTTTATGCTCAACATTATTTTTATCACATCTATCATAATATTCTCATATTGTCACTCAAGCTGATCATATATTCTCATTTTTGTCACTCAAGCTGATCATTAATCACATAAGATTGAAGTTGCAATTCAATTCATGTACTGAATTATTTTGTTCTTCAACAATCTCAATGTAGCCAGCCTTTTAATTTAAGAGGATGACAATGATAAATTTGATGATTCCAAAACAAGTTGGGGCACTGATGTGCAGTCGTGAATATGTATAATAACAAGTAACTACTGAAATGCATACATACAAAAAATATAAATAGAAAAATTACCTCAGCTATATAATTGATATTATATAAAAAAGGCAAAAATGTTAAGAAAACAAATATGAATTAGAGCAGAAATGGAAAAAAGATATTGAAGGCTTGCCATCTTGTCAAAAGGACTTCAAGATTCAAGAACTAATATTAATTTCTAACAGATTTATTAACACGCTCAATTCAGTATGCTTTCTCGTATTAAAATCAATGAATAATTATTATTCATTTGATTTCAATGCCTGTGATCCAGCTAAAACGTAATTCATGGGAGCATTATGTATACAACCATCAACCTTGACAACCTTGCAACTCCAATATGATTTAAATGAAGACGAATTATAAAGACAGAAGCAGATGCCATCAAGTAATATGAGATTTAGTTATCTGGAGCATAGATTTTTTTTTTGCATTAATACTGCAACTAATTCCAATTATGCTCAGACTAACCCCCTAAACTAATTATCCTAACTTGAGAAATAGTTACTAACACAAAACATTTAAGAATTATCATAAAATTTAGACGGCCGCTACAAGCATTTACTTAAAAGTGAATTACGTATGGTATATAAAACAAGCATAGGTCCATGCAAGTAGAATGTATAAAATTCAAGTCAACTGTCAATGTAGTGAAACTAATGGGAACTTATTTGGAAACAAGCTATTTTAGACAACCTGGCATGTTCGAGACAAATCCACCCCTTGTCTCGATATCACATCTCTCTTTGCTTGGCTCATGGTCAACTGTTATTTGTACTGCCTTTCCATCTGTTGCTAAAACTCCTCGTGAATCACCAACATTCGCTATCCAAAGCTTCCTTCCATCAATGAGAATGGCAGTAACAGCAGTAGATCCACCCCGTCCCAGCTCCGGACTTTGAGAAAGAATTGCTTCGTCAGTCTTCTCATAAGCTTCTGATATGGCTTTCTCTGGATGGGTCCAAAATTCATCCTAAAACAGGAATACAAAGCATTAGAATTTTGATGTTTCCATATCAAGTGTTATAATAAAAAATTTGGACATCATTGGCCTTGAAAAGAAAAATAAGTACTATCAAATGCCTACCTCTTTTAAGATATTATCAAACAAATGCTTCTGTAAGTATTGAGGCACTTTGTCTCCCAAATGACCATCAAAGATGGCAAATAAACCAACCTCGTGGCCCTTCACATGTACAAATTTGGCAACATGGTAATCCTCCATTGGATGATTGGCCTTCCCTTTGAGAAGACTAAAGCCGTAGGTCACCCTCACTCGATCTTCGAAGCTTTTTCCTTTACCATTATCAGGGGAATGTCCTGTAGTCTAAAATAGCAAAAACAAACTTGAACTTGTAAAAGGTTATGGCAAAAGGAAAAAAAACCATCCCTGATATAGAATGACACCCTACTGAAGTCAAGCGAAATGATACTGCCATAGAAACACATATCCACATATCTTAGCAATGATGATACTATACCACAACACCTTGCATACAGCAACCCTTGCACAGAACAAGCATTAACCGAAGTTCCATGCACAAAACACACCTTTTTAATGGATACTTATTGTGTCTTGCAATTTTCACGAAAATAGAGAGTTAATCTTCTTAGCATTGTATAAAAATTAAGAGACAAGCTTTTTTTGCAATAAGAAGAAAAATATTCACAAGGAAAAAATATTCAGAAGGCCTAAAAAATGCTTCTAATTTTATGAGTCAATGATTATGAGTTCTCTTCCCTGAAATTAGAGGTGCTAATGCAATGTAGCAAACAAGAATAGTGCAAGGTATTTTTGGTGATAGTGATAGCCATCATGCAATGTATGAGTTGTCATTAGACGAAGGTGAGCAATAAGCTTGGTCTTTCTCTTGATAGCAAAGGAGATTAAATGACGAATAAGACAATCGTCAGACATCTATAGATGATAGATGTCAAATGTTAGTGGCATCCAGTGACAGGTGATGAGGAATGTAAGAAATTGAGTGATGGCGGGCAACTAGCTTGGTCGTTCCCCATAGAGGGAAGAGACCTGGTGAACGAAAGATGGTCAGTGGACATCAATGGTCGACAAATGTCGAATGTTAATCATTAGTACAAATTGGGAAATAGTTGATAAGGAATATTGAAAGTCAAGCGTTGGCCTGATAGGAGAGGATACTAAGGAACAAAAAGGCGGAAGTCAAAGGAGAATGGTTGGTGGACCTAAGACATCGATCATTAGTAAGCTCTAAAAGATGATTGATAGGGGATTTCATGAGTATGGTGATAATAAAATAGGACATTCTCCTTATAGGAAGGGAGATCAAACAACCCAAAAAACAAACACCGAATATATGTGGCTAAAAAAGTCGATAGTTGATGGATGTCAAACTACAATAAAAATAGGAATGTCATAAGTTAGGCAACAATCACGATTTGCTAATTTTTTTTACATTGAGCAACAATAAAAATAGGAATGTCAGGCAACCAGAAAGACAAGCATCGATCATCAATAGGCTTTGGGCGACAGTTAATGACAAACATCGAAAGTTTAGCGACAGTGAACAAAGAACATTGGATGTCGAGCAATGGTCAACAATCAGTGGTTGACTAGGTCATTCTCTTGATAGGATAGACTGAGCGGCTAAGAAGAAGGGTTTTGACCATTAGCAGCCAACAAAAGTCGATCATTTGTTAACATTGGGTGACAATAATGACAACAATTGATGTTAGCCGAGAACCAATAACAATCAGTGGGGTTGCAGTCATTGTTGTTGGTTGACAACAGTCATTAAGTAATAGGAGTGGGTGTCAGCTTTGGTCGACAACAAGCATCAGAAAGTGGTAGTAGTTAAGTTTAAGAATTATGTAAGCCCAAAAATTCTCTCCACTAAAATTTCTCTTTTAATGTGTAAGAAGATGATCAATTTATAGATTTTCAGTGGGGGCATTATGATCATTTTCGCCAAAAATTGAAAATTTCTTTTTTCAAGGACATTCCATGTACACATATAGAAAAATTTGTAAATTCTTCAAAAAATTATAAAATTTTCCAAAATCTTCTAAGAAAATCCCCTTCCTTTACTCCAAATTCTATAAATACCCACTTGGGGTCTAACAACAACAACAACATCAAGCCTTTATCCCTCTTGCAGTCCAAGAAATATCAAAAACTTTCTTCACAGGCTCAAGTTCTCCTTTGAAAATAAGGAAAAAACTATCATGCAGGAGACAAATATGAGTAGAATCCAAGGTTTATAAATCCCATGACGAAGGTCTAATCTTCCTCTGAAAACTATCTTTGTTTGGTTGAATTTTAACTACGAAGAGGCATCCAAAAAAACTGCAATGGAGAGGCTACCGTATTCCTCCAACAAAAAGATTGATTGTCCTCAATTAGAAAAATTTGCATTGAGAAAAGGAATTTTAGGTTCCTAATTCTTGTGGTGAGGCTCTGGTTTTTGAAAAAGAAATCAATTATCTTTATTTTGATAAATTTCACTTAAGCAACGGAGAGGCATGACAGGTTCATAAATCCTGCAGAGAGATTTCATTCTTTCTCAAGAAAATAAGTCGACAGATATCATTTGAATTAGTTCATTTGAACTAATTGAACTAAGGAGAGATTATAATTTTTGCACCAAGCTCTGATTTTCCTCTAAAAGAAATTAATTGTTCCTAGCTCAACGTTCAACAATGAACAAATGAATGCTAATGCAGTGACCTATCTTTAGCAGAGTGATATATAAATAACATTGGAAAGAGATTCTTCCAAGAAGGTTGGTGATTCAACAGGTCACCTAAGTTTTTCTCATAATTTCTCTCTACACAAGCCAAAATATACACTTTAATATCAAACTTTATCCCAATCTCAAGATATTCACGTCTGAGATAAGCCGAATAGAGAGATTCTTAGTTTTTGAAGGCCTAATTTGATTTTTCTTCTCATGTTGCCTCCACAATGCCTTGCATAATCAATTCCTACAATAGGAAACAACAAGGAGACAAACGGAAGCCTCCTAGACGGTTGCCAAAGGCTAATACATTGCTAGGGATCACCGGATAAGGCCAAGGATGTCTACACGACCTTTTGGAGGGGTATCAGAGGTTGTTAGAACTGCTAGCAGTCAAAGGAAATGGCCTGGGAAGTAAGAAACTGTAAATGAAGAGGAGGAATAACCATATAATTAAGGATTGTTTTATTCCTAGCCCCAGTGAGGGTTCCAAAAAGACTTGTAATGATCCGAACTAAGAATCAAATAAAAAGAAGAAACAGATAACAATAAAAAAATAATCAAACCAAATCCAAAATAAGAAAACAAATAACAAAATTCCTTATTTCAAAATTTTAAAACCTTAATAAATTGAAAGTTAAATCTTTGTTACTGGATTGTGAGATCCTCCCTGATCACCCTTGTCGAATGGTGGCTACCAGTACTTTCATGCGTTCTCGCCATAAATGTTGGAGGCAGCTTATGCAGGGGCACAAAAAGCAAAGCTGGAGCTTGGAATTTGGTTTTAGAGAGGGAAATATTGTTTACATAATCATCACATTCTTAAATTATATACTAATAATAAAAAGGACTTCAATGCTTATCAACAAAAGATCTCAACCATTGATTTTTCTAAGAACAATCAATATCATACATTTTTTTTCCAGGATGACAAAGTGACACTGCCTCGGCGGAACTTCTCTCCAAACACTGCACGTCAACAAAAGGTTTCTTGTCTAGCTTGTCAGCTTCTTTTTTTTTTTTTTTTTGGGGGGGGGGGTGAAATATCAGCTTCTTTTCAGAAAACCTTTTTTCATTTCCTTTGTTTTGTTTGAGCATTTTAAGATTACAAACACCTTTTTTTTTTTATTTCAATCTGCATCACATTGCCCATCATAAAGGTGAATTATCATTCAGAGGCCTACATTGGCGCTGCTTTCTAGTGATTTATAGGACAAATTTTATTGTTGCCGTTAAAAAAATTATTCTGCATTGTTACAATATTTCACTATTTTTTTTTTAACACATTTCTTTAACAAAAAACAAAGCCTATTAATATCATATTCGAGGAATGGTTATTTTTCTTTCAGCATATGAAAATCCAACTTGCACATGATAATTTGTTTTTTTTCATTTTTTTCATCTTTATTCTAAAGCTAGAAAATGAGGTTTTTCTAGACTAAATGTTACTTATAGTCAGCTCTCTTTGACCATCCACCTTTAAAATAGATCATTAAATAATAAGTTATGGCATATCTAAATGTGTCATCTAAGTTCCTTGATATCAACAACTACAAATTTTTGTTTTGGCTATATGAACAAGCCTATTTTTCTCAGCAAGTTATGTTCTAATTATTTTCTCTGGAATACATAACGAGTGTTCAATTGCATTGTAGTTTGAAGCATAGCTTAAAATTGTGTAATAAAAGGTGCGCCTCTACGCAATTATACCCGAAAGAGCCTCATTGCTTAAGCTTTTTTGGGTCCAGGTGAGGCGTACGCCTCTAGACTTGTGAGCGTGCCTCGAAGGCTCAATTGCACAATCTTGGGTGAGGCGCACGACTCATGGAGCCGGGTCCCACACACTTAAGTTCTTAATAAAATAACCCTTCTTCCCCTTTCTTCTTTCTGCCTACCCGAACCGAACGGAACCAGTTCGCAAGCCGTAAGTCCGCACTACTAGCTTTGCTCGGCCTCCCTTCCCGCCGGCGTCGCCTCATGTCGGTGAGCTTCTAGTATCTGGCCGCCCTCTACGACAACTCCACTACCGATTTTAAGTATTTTTTTTTAATTCAAGGTAAGATTTTTCAAGTTCTAGAAAATCTAGGGTTTTTTATTTTTTGACATTTTTTGTTTAATTTTGCATTTGTGCATTAGGAAACATGAGATGCATTTTTTGGTCTACAAGCAACAAAATCTACTATTGTCAAACGCTCTCCAAGTAAGCTTATTTTTGCAAAGTATCCATACATGCATAACACTTTAATATGTTATGATTATAGTTTCTCTTCTAAAAAATAGTTGAATGGTGGATCCAATTTGGTGATTGCACACCTAAGTTACAGAGTTTTGCAGTTAGAGTTTTGGGTCTCACTTGTTTTTCCTCTGGGTGTGAGCGAAACTAGAACACATATAGTCAAGTGCAAATGAAGAGAAGAAATCGACTTTCAACACTCAGAATGAACTCCCTTGTGTATATTATGCACAACAAGAGGTTGAGGAACAAGGCGTTGAAGGATGATGAGGACCCTTTGGTGTGTGATGATGTAGCATCTGATAATGAGTGGTTCATAGATGATTGGATATATTTACCATTATCAGACCTACAGCTAGAGGATCTAAGTGTTGATGT